AGATTATCTAATCAGGAGGCATTGCCCTTAATCAAAGCAGCTCTCCCCTTTCAGTTCCACAAAGTACAACATGCCCTCCAAAGGCGTACTAGGGCTGAGCCATTATTTTCCACAAAAGAAACAGAAAGCCTAATTGCATCCCAGGTAGACAGACCTCCAGAAACCTACAACCCCAAGTTCAGTCCATGGATGTGAAAAATAAGGTGGAGATAAATTTTATAGAACCATACATTGACAAACATTTTCCTCTTATGAACTCCAGCTATGTTGCTGAGAGCATGCTATTACTTATGCTATTAAAGAAAAGAGATATACCATATGAAAATTAGTAAGACTCTGGATTTCATTATAAATCTTTTATTCTTCTAGTAATGGCTGCTATGGCTCCCCATTTCCTACCAGGTAAAGATGCCTCCAAGTGCAGGCCCTACTTATCTACTTTTCCTCTGCATCCCCTAAATCCAATCCTACAGTCAGACACACCTCCAACCAATTGTCTGAACACACCACGCTGTTTAATACCCCCACCTCTGCATAGACAGCTCCCTCCTGGAACCTAGGATCCCCTCTCCTCCTGAAAATTCCTCCTCCTTCTCCAAGGGCTAATTTGAACATCATATCCTCAGTGAAGCCTTTGCAAAGCCCCCAGTGCAGTGGCCCTCAAGCTTTGTGTTCACCAGAGTGCCCTGGAGGGGATTTTAAAACACCCAGCGCTGGTCCCCACACACAAGTCTCGGAGTCAGGAGACCTTGCACAGCCTGCGAATGGGAACTTCCCGTGAGTCCCCAAGGGATGTTGGTGCCACGCTCAGAGCATAACTGCCGTGAGCTGTGGAAAGAACACTGTGCCCTTAAGACCTTAGTGCCTTCAGCCTTCTGTCTCCCACTTGAGCCTACAGGCTGGTCAGGGCTGAGTCTTATTCACGTCTGCACTTCCCAGTCCTGGAATACAGTCAGCACTCAATGCATGGCTCCCAAGCCCATGGGCAAATGGGTAGACGCCTACAGGGATGCCTGGCATTGAACTTATTGACACAACTTTTTCATCCCAGTCCAGAGCTTTGTGAATGTCCATCCCCATCCCCAAAAGTATCTTGAAAACATCACCTGTAATAAATTCCAGCTGTGCAGACAAATGAAAAGGCAATTCAAGAGGAGTTCTGACATCATCTGCCTGTCCTTGAGATGTGAATTCTAATTCTGTTTACTGAGGTTGCACTTAAAGGGTCCCAGAAGAATGCTTCCAGGTGGCACCTTTCAGGGTCCTGATCCCCAAGCCTTCCCTCCTTTGAGTCACGTATATGTGCATCTGTGTGTGTGTGTGCACTCGTACGCACACATATACACATTTACACTGCAACATGGGGGGTTTTGGTAGATAGCAGGTGAAGATGGTAAGAGAAATGGAGGGAGAAGCAAGATTGTAGCCTCAAGCAGGAAGAGGACAGGCAGCAGCCCGAGTGAGGAGGTGCCCTCACCCACGGGTGCGGGTCTGAGCTCCAAGCATTTCTGGGTGCCTGTCCTTGAGGCAGACAGCCCAGAGCACGGACAGAACGCGACACATCTGTAGGAGACACAGAAGTGGATGCTCAGAAGGAAATGAGACACGAGGAGAGAAACAAACGCGAGAATGCATCTGCTGGAGGGGCTGGGAAGACGGGAGGAGTGGCAGTGACTGCTGAGCTGGCAGCTTAGACAGCAGGGCCCGCTGGGGAGGGAAAGTCAGTAATGGCTGCAGCAGGCCCTCTGCCCTTTGCAAAGCAGCAGCAGGCCCAGGGATGAGCGTTGGGCTCTGCAGAAAAAACAGCTGGAGAGGACAGAGCAAGGGACAGCAGGAGGACCAAAGTCAAAAGGTCTCGCCCGCTGCAGCCGGTGTGAACCAGCTGCCTGTGGCCCGGCAGACTCCCGTGTCTGTGGGGCTGATCTTCCCTGAGAGCACCTTGGGTCACCTGCACTCCGCCAACAGGGGAAAGTCAGCATTTCCTCTTCACCAGCGTCCAGATCACCTCCTGGGGGAGCCACGGATTGGCCTCTCGGATTAACTCTCCACCCTCCTGCTCCCACACCCAAAGCCTTGCTGAGGAAGGAGGGCAAAGCTGAGACCTCAGGATGCTGCTGGGCTGTCACATCCAATTCACCACACGGCCCTGGTGGCACTGCGGATGGGAGGCCACCCCCAGCCCCGGACAGTGGGACCAGCTAAGGACAGGGGATTAATGATGCCGGCAATTAGTGCTCACAGGGAAACGGTGGGGGCTGCTCCCCGGGGAAGGGGGAAGGACACAGCACACAGAGAGCAGCAAGCAAATCAGAGGGCACCGTAGAGGACATGTCAAGAAAAATGTGTGAGGGCTCTGGAACCTTCTTCACATGAGGAGGCTCCAGATCAGTCCAGATACCTCTCTTCTTTGAAGCTTAAAAACCTTAGGCAGTCCAGTGATTCTTTATGAAGAACCCAGCAAGATGAGTCAGGAGAAGGAGAGAAGGGTGAGACTACGTGCGCTCACCCACCGGCCCACAGAGCGATGGGGACAGGCATCGGGCGACATTGCTCAGAGGGGTTTCTTCACATAGGGAGAAGAAAGACAAGCACAGCTTCCTTACTGAGCAACACTGTGTGGCCTCCCAGGGAGGGCTCAGGAGGCTGAAGACATCTACCGAGGAAGGTGCAGGAGGAGGTCCTGGTGGACACAATAAAGCACACCAATGCTGGTCGCAGAGCTCAACAGCCACCTTGAGACAGAGGAGGTAGCCACCTTCTACTTCCTGCCCTCAGTGCACTCTCCTCTGCTGTTGTGAGACCATGCACAGACACACATGCACACACCCTCACACGCACACACATGCACACACCCACGCATGTACACCACTCACTACAGTGAGGCTACAGGAACACTGAGAGGAATGAGACACAGACAAAAGAGAGGTATTCCAGACCCTTTAGCAGTGATGGGGAACCTTTTAGAGCTTTCAGTGACACAAACAGCCCACTGCGGCACGCAGGCCGTGGGTTCGCCACCACCAGCCTACAGGCTGAGGAAGGCGCCCATGCACTGGAACAAAATGGCCTGACATAGGAGAAATATTTGGAGATAAGCTGTCACCGGGAGAATGAGAAATAACACCAGGCTAACAGACACTTTAGAGAGAGCGACAATCACTATGAATACTTTCTACATAGTGCCTGAAATCAAAGGCAATTTCTCTCAGCTTCCTCCTGGTTGGAAGCAGCAGCTCCCTGGGACCTCTTGATCACTTAGACCAGAGAAAGGAAAAGCAGGTACGAGATGGCTGAGCACAGGTCAGAGTATTTTCCTTTCTGAAAGACTAGGGTGGCTGCAGCAAGGAAACCTCCCGAGAGGGAAGACAGAGACCTCAGTGCTGTAGTTTCTTGGCTGCCAAAGAGGAGTAAGAACGAAACCATCAGAGACTTCCTGCCCTGCTTTTCAGATTCTGCCCAGGTAATAAGAGGAAGGTGAGAAAGCGAGGGCCTATCACACAGAAGGCTAGAACCCTGAAAGTGAGACAGAATTAAAGGTGTGATGGCCAAATTATGGTGTCCCCACCCCCCATGCCACTGTTGACACTTTTTCTACTTCCTCAGAATGTAGCTATATTTGGACAAAGAGTCTTTCTAAGGGTAAAGTCAAAATGAAGCCATTAGGATAGGCCCTAATCCACTCTGACTGGTGACTTTAAAAGAAGAGGAAATTTGACCCCAGGGCACTTGTAAACAGAGAGGAGAGAACAAGGAAAGAGGCCACCACGTGGTGGCCATCTGCAGGCCCAGGGAAGAGCCTTCGGAGGCAACCAAACCTGCTGACACCTTGATCTTGGACTCTCGCCTCAAGAACTGGGAAAAAATAAATCCCTGCTGTTTGAACCTCCCAGTGAGTGTTCTTTTGTTATGGAGCCCTTCTAAACTAATAAAGAGCACAGTGTTACAAGGGGAAAGTGATACAGGGGTTAACGGAAGCCAGACACCAATCCGGAGAAAGATCTTGGCCATGGGTGTAGGATCTCAAACACTTGGTGAAGACACTCCACTGACTAAAATAAACAACCATCTTATTTAAATCCTAGAGTCTGAATATTTTTAAAGGTCTAATCCTTCTAATTGCATTAAGTTGAATATTTTTAAAGGTCTAATCCCCCTAATTGCATTAAATTTTTTACACATTACATCTCCACAAATTTTCTTCACCAAGTGATCTCGGCGTGGCTCACATCTTGACACCAGCTCTAAAGATTCCACTTGCCCATCCCACTGTGAGGTGTCTGTAGACCCAGAGGCATCAATGGATCTTACAGAGGGAAGTCAAGTAGTAAGCTCCTTTTGGATTCCCTAACTCATAACGAAGTCAAAGAAGGAAGAAAGAGCCACAATGGAAACAATCTTCGGAATCATTTTTGAGTCTTCAGAGGCAATTGTCTTTCCAAATGCAAATCCGCTCAGACCCTATTTGCCATTTGAGTGCTCAAGCAAAGGGCATGGAGCTCCAGGAAACACCCCAAAGCCCTGTACCCAAAATGTGACCCCCTTATAACAAAGCCACAGCAGTAGATCAACAAATAGTATCAATCTACAAAATTAGAATATCTGAAATCTCTTAGAGACCAAGCAGACACTGACACATCCCCAAGGCCTATGGCCAGCCAGCTCAGTCTCCCAGGGGTGTACGGGTGTTCCAGAGCCAAGTGAGATACGGCAGGTCTAGTATTCAATGCTGGCCCAGCAAGGACATTCCCTCTGTGCTGAACACTTACCTCCCTTCCTCCCTCCGGGAGCTACGCTGGGTGTGTGAAACCTTCCCAGCTCACTGTAAACCAGCAGCTTAGCTGAGCCACTGGGGTGGTAGCTGGCTCAACTGAAGGAGCTAACTCACCACAGGACACTGAAGCCACTCAACCCCTGCCGCCAGAAGATGCCAGAGGTGCAAAAGGCAATATGCCCCAGCCCTGCCCGCAGCTCTCCTCACCGCCCCAGCAGCAGGGACTCACGTCTGTGGTTCTCGTTTCTGTGGTTAGGTGGGGATCGTGTCTCCTGATCCTGGGCTTCATCCCCTTCCTCGCTAGCCAGGTGGGTGTGGGCATAGTGGTAGCTCAGTCCTGGCCGATTCTTGTAGCGCTTGCCACAGACTAGAGAAGAAAAGAGGGAAAAAGAAATGCCAACGTCAGCAACTTTGTCAGCCCCTGCTTTCATTCCCCAGATTGCAACTCCCAGCCATCTATCCCAGAGCCAGGATTTCCTTAAGACCTGTCTTCCACCCCTAATTTCCCTTCCTACCTCCTGATGGAGCCAAAACTACCGTAACAACATGGCTCCTGTACTGTGACCATGAGAGAAGAGAAAACGTGAAAGGAGGGCGTAGAGGTTAGAGCTGGGTGAGCAGGCCACCATTCCCTGGCTGGAAGACCACGGGCAAGTCGCTTCGCTGCCCTGGGCCTTGGCTGCTTCAGGCACAGAATGGGAATAAGAACAGGGCTTGCAGGGCTGTTGTGACGAGTTAACCCCTACACAAAGCACTTAGAACAGTGTCAACACATGCTACAGTGACTTATCACGACTTTGAATTCCAAGAGCACCTGGAATCTGTTCAGGCCATTATCCCAAGGCAAAGATGAGACAAGAAAGGCCCAGCCTCCTGGATTCCTCTGCAGTGCTCCATCAACGACCCAGGCGGGGCAGAAAATTTTCACATGGATATTTGTGAGGTATCACCCAGTGATTTTGTACCAGAAAAACATGTTCCACTTCCACCACGAAAACCGTGAATCTGTTATCCTTGGTGGATCAAGAGTTTGTGACCTCAGTGCCCAGGCCAGCCTCTGACACCCACATCTGTAAAAGGTGTTCTCATGAGCAGTACATCTCAGCAGCCAATATGAACATGACTTCATGGAGAAACCAGATTCCCAGCCCAATGGCTCAGCCTCTGGACGTGGGACTGCAAGCAGCAGTGCCTCAGTGGCTTCACTGTAACAATGATGACTGCTGTCTGATCTTGCTATCTCTCGTCCCCAGCAGACCAAGCCAGGCCTGCTGTGCTAGAGCACTTGAGGGTTACATGTTCTAAGGGATTCTCCCTTCTCTAGCACTGACATTGATGGTTTATACCCATGAGCATAAATACTACACGGGCAGAAAGACCACAGATGTCAGCATCAGACCTGGATTCAAACCCCAGTTCCAGTCACCAAGATCAGAGGCTGTGTGACCTTGACTGTACACAGCAGAGCTGTTAATCAGTCACCTTACACAGGACCATTGTGACTGCTCATAGGGTTTCTTCTCCTACTGTTCCCCTGGGCTGTTTTGTTTTGTAATTTGGAAAATAACCATTGGCAAAAATAGATAACATCATCTCTTCTGTCCCATATTTATAAACTATTTTATATTAGCTTAATTCATTTCAATCACTAGGGCAATAACAAAATCAAGTAATTGCTACTTTAATAAAGTTGAATTTAGTGTTTCATTATTTAGAATGAAGAATGTAGCTAATTATTAGTCTATCAAATTTAAGTAGTCCCTCTTATTGCTGTTGTAGAGTTTTTTAATAAGAGAATTTTATCAGCTGCCCTTTCAGCATCTCCTATACATGACTCTCCTTAAGTTTGTTGATTTGGTGAATTATGTTGACTTCCTAATATTTCTTATTATTGAACCATTCTTGCATTCCTCGAATGAACTCCATTTGGTCAGACTATATTATCCATTTGATATACTTCTATATTTAATTCACTAATATTGAATCTGTATTCAGACTTGACATGGATCTGTCTTTATCAGGTTTCAATCTTATGGTTATGTTAACTTCCAAAAATGAATTGGAGAGTTCTGCTGTGTGATATTGGACAAGACATATAATTTCTCTATGCCCTTTCTCTGTACATGAGGATCACAATACTTACCTTGAAGAATAAGTACAGGGATTATAAACAGTATTTGTAAAGCACCTTACTCTATGTGCAGCACATAAAAGATGTTCAATACATGGTAAATGAGGGATATCAATTTCGTTTGTCCCACTGTAGGTGCTGGACTCTCTGGAAGAGCAGCTTTGACCCTTGATTCATACTATGGAATCTGGTAACCGAATGGACTTCCTTGATAAGGTAACATAAGAGTCTGAAATTGAAATTGGTGCTGTAGCAACAATAAATCCACAGCCTTCTGTTTCTCTCCTCTCTCTCTCATAAATATTACAAAACATAAGATAAAATGGTGCCATGCATCTTAGCTCCATGGGACTCAGGAACTGGACCTGAGGAGGCCCCTGAGGTCCACCCTGGGCCTGCTTGTGGCTTTCTCCATTTAACCTTTAAAATGACTGGAGGTCAATTAGCAGCAAATAATGGAGTTGTTGAATGGAGTCATTAAATTCATTTAGTCACCAACCACACTGTTGATGCGAAATGAATGTCTATTAAAGTAGAAGTCTTGTTAGTATTTACACAGGAGGCCTCAGCTGCCTCTACAGATCTACCCATCAGAAGCTCCTCAGCATTGCACTTAGAATATTTGTTATGCCAGTCATTATCCTTTTCCTTAATGACTGAATTCCAAGATCTTACTGGTCACTTGATCTAACCATTTATCTAATTATTTTGTTTCCCTAATTCTCTAAACCCACTGGGGGATAACTCCAGGGATGGGGAACTCGATACCCATCAGAGCAGGCACCTCTCCTGCGGGCCCCTTGAATTATAGTTATGTCTGCCCTGGAGGGCCTCCCTTCAAGACGGTTTCACATTGGTTCAATCCTGACATCAGCAGCTCACCCTCATCTGTTGCCAAGCATAATACTACAACATGCTATTTGTTGAGTGGCTAGTGAATGACACAGAAACACTCGTGGGAAAGCCCGGAGATGAGGGCAGAGGGCGCTTGTGGAGTCCATTCCATCTATCCACATTCATCTCAAACTAATAGCCCTTAAAACCTACCGATCCAAACCCAAGGGAATGCTCCTTCTATCTCCTTCCCCAACACCACAGAGAGTAATAATTTTTGAAGCAAATCCTTTTGCTACAACAGAGACTTTCAAAATGTAGCTCCCCAGACCAGCATCATCAATACCACTGGGAACTTAATATGGAAGCAAATTCTTAGGCTTCCCTTCAGACTGACTAACTCAGAAACTCTAGGGGTAGGACGCAGCTATCTGCATGTTCACGGACCAGGTAACCCAGGTGATTTGATGCAACATTAAGGTTTGAGAGCCACTGTGCTAGAAGACTGAGTTGTTGAGCCTGACTCCACCCACCCTATGGCCACCTGCCCTCCTAGTGGATGGGCACAGCAGATACAGGCAGGAGAGGTCACTCTGTGACTTGTGATTTGTCATTAGAAAACCAGACCCAGGCCATACAGGGAGATCCTGGAAGCCAGACTTCTTTATGAAGAGCCTTCTGATGGAACTTCATCTTCTGCTACCTGTTTGTACCATGTCATTTCTTTATCACTAGCTCCTCATTACAAACCTCTTATTAAACACCTAACATGTGCTCATCTGTGTGGCCCAGAAGGATAAAGATAAATGAGATTCCTTCCTCGAGAAGTTCACAGTCTAGCGAGGACTTGCTCCTGTACACGAAGGGAACCTGGAGATAGATGCAGCACCGAGCAGATGCAGCAGAGAGGAGCATCCAGACGGGACCAGCAGATGGCTTGAGTGAGGGACGCGGCTTCACAGAAAAGGAGTCCTTGGGCTGTGTGCGTGTGAGCTGGGCAACACTTCACCGCGGACAAAGGTGGCAAGGGCATCCGGACACCAGAGCACACCCACCCGGCACAGCGCGGGGATGGGGAGAAGCTCACCAAAGCCAGAGCAGCGGAGGGGTGAGGTAGGCAGAGGGGGACTAACAGGAGAGATTGCTAGGTGGGACTTCATCCTGAAGATGAGGGACCGAGGGAGGATTTTACCCAGAGGACCAACTCAATCAGACTTACAGGTTAGAATACTGCTTAAGATCACAGGGCAGAAGAACATGAAGGTGGGCAGAGGCTATTTTGCATTACTTATGAGTAAAACAGTGAAGACTTAATGATGGAGAAGACTAGGGGGAAGGGGTTGAAGGAAAGAGAGAACCTGGTGGAAAGGCATGTATGAGCAAGCACGAAGGAGCCCAGAAAGCCTGGCACAGCCCTCCCAGACGTGCATCCTCCGCCACCCAGCCCGCCTCCTCACGTCTCGCCTCCATCTCGGCCCTCCTGCCGGCTGTTCTTTTTAGTTCTCGGTTCTCCTCCCACCTCAGAGCATGCGCACAAGCTCTTCCCTCTGCCTGGCCTACCTCCCACCCCCAATTTGCCTGATGAACATCTAATCATCCTTCAGATCTTAGTCCTGAAGTCCTTCCCCAGGGAAGTCTTTCCAATCAAAATCAGGACCCTTGCGAGGACTACTACCTTGCGAGGACTAATCACGCAGCAGGACACGTCTCCCCCACCGGCAGCCGGCGTGGCGGGCCCTGGGTGTTCACACACGCTGCGTCCCCAGTGACCAGCATGGGGCCCAGCTTGCCACAGGCTTTTGATGTCAGCTAAGGGAAGCAAGAAAGGGGCCTAGATTCCTGACTTGGGAAGCTGGTGAAAAGGACACAGGAGAACATTCCAGCTTAAGAAAGGAAGAGAATGAGGTCGGTCCAGGGCTGACTTCATTCTACAGGTTTTGGGAAAGAAGTGTGGGTTTGGGAGCAGGCAGGGTGGCGATGAGGCTGCAGGCACGGAGGGACGTTCCAAGAGCGACTGTAGAGTGAACGAGCAGCGTGGGCATGGGACCGAACTCGGGAATCACCAGCACCTTAAGAGACTGGTGGAGGAAGAAACGGATTTGTTTATTTTTTATTTTTAAGGAAGACTCACGTGAGAATGAGCAACAGAAGCCAAAGGAGGAGGGTTTCAACGGCAACAGCAGCAACAATGACACCCCCAGGATAGCTCCCGCCGACAGCTCCTCAGTGTCCACCATGTGCCAGGCCTGCAGCCTGCACCCCCGCTCCATTTTTGTGGTTCCGGAGTTTGAACCCAGGGCCTCGCATGTTCTGGGAGAGGGTTCTTTCACTTAGCTACACCCCTAGCCCTTTTATTTCATGTTGAGACAGTCTTGCTTTGTTGCTCAGGCTGAACCCTTCAT